TTTTAAGGTCAAAAGACTTTAAGGCCCACAACCTTAATTACATTTGCAAAATCCCTTCATAGCAGCACAGAGAACAGTGTTCAACTGAATAACTGTCAGAGGGTGTGTTTATATCAGCAGGATGGGAATTTGTGGGGATCCTAAGATCCTGTTTACCACATTCCTGAAGCATACGTTAGATTCAGTCACAGGCCTGAACAGTGATTTTCAGTGGCATTGTTGCCTTTAATACTTACTCCTTTGATTATTTCTATATACTCTACATATGACTGTTGTTAAGTATTTGAAAGGCCAAGAGACACGCATTCTATAAGTGATATATTTTTTTCCCCATGTTCTTAGAATACCTCTGAATGATAGGTAATTACTTTCACCTCTGACTCTGTGCCCCTAACACCTATATAATTATTGGATCAGATTAGTATTTATCTGCATTTTTTTCAAAAAGGCAGTTTTTCAACTCAAAATTGCTTACTATTTCTTTCATCAAGATTTGAGAAGTGTCAAGTTTAATCAATGTAGCCCTAGTGATATATCAGTTGAGGCCAAGTCTAGTTTGAGGGGGGTACTTGAACATATGCTTGCCCTGATATATATTTAAAAGCAATATATTTTGTTGTCAACTGGCTTTTTTCAGGATGCCCCTGCTTCAGACACGGTAAGACAGAGAAACTGGTAATAAAAAGGAGAAAGGAACAAATGTTAAGCTGAGGGTAGAAGTGAAGTACAAATCATGGTTGAAATGCTCAACATCGAGGGCTTCCAGAAACAGTTGTTTCTGCAACTAGTCTCAGCCAGGTAGAATTCCAGAATGTCTGAGATTGGCCTGCATTTGGTATACTTTAGGGTTGCAAGCAACATGTCTCATCCATTGGCCTAGGAAAAAAGATATTCCTCATCGGATACACCCACCTACTAAGATCCTTGAGAGTCTATCTAAATTTGGGACTTTTAATATATTCACACATATTGCTAGCTGTTCAGACTCCAGATTAGTCAACACCTAAAAAATGGTGATGTTCTTGATTATCTCAAGCTGCCAAAGTTTATATCCATGATGTAAAGGTTGAGCTAATAGATATCTTGGACACTCATAAAAACCTCAGTGTTTACATTTTGGTTTCTGGGTTCCAAATAAAAGTTTATGTGCATTTTTAATTACTAATTTTTCTCTTCTCTCCTTATTCAAGAATTATGAACCTTTATAGATTCTTGTTTCCATGCTGTATAGAGATTGTAAAGCCTATAAATCATAGTTAATCAGCATTTTTATATTACTGAGTAATAATCCATTGATTCTTGAGCCTGTTTATTCTGTTTACCCCATCTAATTCTCAACACAAGGGAAGATAATGGGGGAACTAAGTGAATTCCCTACATTGAGAAATAGGGTGATGACATTTTTTTCCCTGAAACCTCTGAGAAGAGACTCATATTTAAAATAAACTAAAACTTCTGGCTTAACACTGACAGAAATAAAATTTTGATGTATATTTCAAAAAATGAAAAAACTACATTTTAAGTCCAAATTCTGACCTTTTCTTACACTACTTCCCACTTAACTGCCTAGAGATGTTATAGGATGATACTTTGCTCATACCCAATTAAATTGCTCCAAGTCACAAAGAACTAAATATATTTGGTGAGTAGGCAAATATACTTGGAAAAACGCTTTTGCTTTTGTAAAATTTTAATTAACAATACTGAAGTTAGGCTAATAAACCTAAAATGAGCTTTAAGTGTTAAAGAAAAATGAAGAACCACGTATCTCTCACTTTATACCAAATTAAAAAGAAATGACTATGTTTGGGGAGCAATGAATGTCAAAAGACCAAATAAGCACAGAGCTAGGCCATCTTGCACCAAACTGTTAGCCAAGTTGTGAATGCAAAGGAAAATTCTCAAAGGACATTAAAAGTGCTGTCGTGGTGAATGTAAAAGTAAAAAAAATTCAACAGCCTTGTTGCTATAAGGAGAAAAGTTTTAGTTTTCTAGACAGATTAAACCAGTTATGTTCCATAAAACAAAGCCTAATCTAAACCAAGACCCTATTTCTCAATTCTATGAAAGCTGATGGGAAGCTGCAGAAGAAAACTCTGAAACTAGCAGACTGGCTCAGGTTTAAGAAAAGTCAGCATCTCATAACATCAAAATTCACACTGAAAAACAATTGCTAATGCAGAAGCTACAGCAAGTTATCCAGAAGATCTAGCTAAGATTATTGATAGTGGCTACACTAAACAACAGATTTACAATGCAGACCAAGTAACCCTATATTAGAAAAAGATGCCATCAGGGACTTTCATAGCTTGGAAAAGTCAATGCCTGGCTTCAAAGTACAGATTGACTTTCTTGTGAAGGGTTAATACAGCTGGTAACTTTAAGTTGAAACTAACACTTGTTTACTATTCTGAACATACAAGGGGCCATAGAAATTATACTAAATCTGTTGTGCTCTGTAAATGGAATATTACTGGATACCAGCACATATGCTTACAACATAGCTTACTTAATCTTTTAAAGCCCACTGTCAAGATCTACAGCTCATGAAGATTCCTTTCAAAATATTACCACTTATTGACATTACAATTGGTAATCCAAGAGCTCCAATGGAGATATACAAATTTGTTTTCATATCTCTTAATACAACATCCTGTCTGCAGCCCACACGTTAAGAAATAATTTTGACTTTCAAATCTTACTTAAGACTTTCATATCATGAAGTTACATGTGTTGAAGGCAACAATTCCTTTGATGGATTTGAGCAATGAAAGTTGAAAATCTTCTGGAAAGGATTTACCATTCCTCAATGCCATTAAGAATATCTGTGACTTAGAGAAGGCTAAAATATCAAAATGAACTGGCATTTGGAAGAAGTCTATTCCAACCTTCATGGACAACTTTGAGGGGTTCAAGATTTCAGTGGAGGAAGTAACTGTGGCTGTATTGAAAACAAGAAGAACTAGTATTAGCAATGGAACCTGTAGATGTGATTGAATATCATAATAAAACTTTTAACAAGGAGTTCCTTCTCATGGCTGATCAAATAAAATGGTTCCTTGTGATGGAATCTACTGGTAAAGATGCTATGAATGAACATTGTTGAAATGACAATAAGGGGGTTCAGAGTATCACATAAACTCTTGATAAAACAGCAGCAGGGTTTGACCTCAAACCTGAAGAAGTTCTACTCTAAATAAAATGCTACTAAACAACACTGCACACCACAGAGAAGTCTTATTTTAAGAAAATTGCATTTAGTGATTACCACAATAACTCAGCAGCTATGAACACTAAAGCAAGACTCTACACAAGCAAAAAAATTAGAACTTGCTGAAGGCTCAAGTGATCATAAGCATCTTTTAGCAATAATCTTTTAAATATAACAGTTTTTCAGACATGCTGTTGTGCATTTGTCACTGTACTTACTACAATGTAGTGTAAACACACTTTATATGTACTGGGAAACCAAAAATCTGACTCATTTTACTGTAGTGGTCTAGACCCCAACAGCAAACTTCCAAGTTCTACCTATATATTAGTTTAAGATTTACGCTATTTCTACAATAGGTCAAGTCAAAATCAGTGAATTGGAATTATGTGTTTTTGGCTTAATCTAAGTATGGTTGTCCATCAATAGAATGACTAGCCTTCTAAAGCAGGGGCAACTTGATTCATAGGTATTTTAGGGGATAAATGACCGTGTATCACCTGCTTTGGTGGTTTCTAAATCCTTTCCAACTTAAAACTTCTATATTCATTATCATCTTATAACAGAATTGTACATTTTACATAAAGAATAACTTGCTGTCTACTTTACATTGTTTGAAATGTCTTCCATCTCAATTGCTTAAGACATATATAGTACTACTTATATAGTGATCAGAATGTACACACTTTATAAGAGTCTTGATATCACCACAAGACTTCACAGACTTAGGTACTTCTATATGAAGCTAAGTAAAAGCCTTAAAAGTACTACCTGCTTAACAGGTCTTTCAAAACATATGCACTATGAGTAGCAACTGAATTTGAGAATATCTTTCTGCTTTGAAAAAAGCTACATATAACTTTATGGAGAAGCCACGATATCTAAAGGGGGTGGGAAACCAATAAAACAAAACAGAAAGAAAAAACCCAACGGGAGCAAGTGAAACGTTTTCTTAGAAATGAACTAATTTTGAGTTTTTATCTCAAAAACTTCTCAATTCCATTACAAATATTTCTTGTTCTTATGAAAAGAAATCAAAAGGATTTTTTTTACTAAACGTTTTGAATTTTTCTTAAATTTTATTATGGCATTCAAATCTTTCATTGTATATTGACATTTATGGTTGTTTCATCAAAGTGATTCTTGACTCCTTGTACCATTCTAGTTCTGAAAGACTAGAACAGGAAAACCAGACAAAAACAAGTACTAGATATGAAAGGTTAATAAAATAGGTACTTGTCACTCGTTTTTCTATATGCTTAACAAAACACTGTTGAAATCTTAATAACTGTTTGCTAATCTTGTTCCCAGAATGAGCTGTCCCCAACTGCCAAACTACAAAATGTAACTTCTCTCCCTGCCCTCTCCAAGGAAAGTATATAAGCTCTGCTTAAGCTGTTCTCAGGGCTCTCTCTCTTTGCTCTGTTCAAGTGAGCTCTGAGCCCCAGCATGCTGGTCCCCAAATAAACCCTTTTGCTGTTGCATGAGACAGTCTCTTGGTGGTCTCTTCCTCTGACGTTTCTCCGGTCCCTTACAGATACAGCACTGATTTTCTGAATAACCCTGAGCAAATCACTTGGATTATTGTTTTAAGGCTTATCAATAAAAAAGTCAGATTAGCAATGAAGCTCTCATGAAATGATGAATTTAAAAACACCTCGGAAAGCATAAGGAGTATTCAGATCTAGTTTCATGTGTTTATCAAGGGTTAGGCTGATAACAGGTGTTAATCCAACTACAGGATAAAAAGAACTATAATTAGGAAATAAAATAGCTCATTTTCCTATTGGCTTATCATTTCCTTCATTTTAATAATAACAAATCATAATTTAACTAAATTCAATTATATTTAAGTAAAATTTAAATTATACCCTCCTTCCCCAGATAGGACACAGAATCATTTTCTTCTCTAAGGGATTTATTGATCCCTCTGAAACCTGACAAGAAAGCCACACTCACAGTCAAGGTATGACAACCAATGTTTTCATTGTTTTTCAGTCTTGTAGTATTCCCAATAGTGAAGACAAAGCTCCTCCACACGTCTGTCCAGAACAACCATAAATCCCATGCTTCCTGTGTAATGGGTCCAGGGGTAAGAGGTGACAAGTTCATTGTTCATTCAAACAACCCGGTAGGCCTTTCCTTTAGGGTCTGCCAGGATAACTATACCCCAACAAGCAATGCCTGGAGGGGGGGAAAAAAAAAAGCATATTACTTATATGTCACAATTTAGTTTACCAAGTGCTCCATATGCCATCTTATTTAAGTGTTACAACATTACTAGAAGATATATTAACATTATATATTTCGAATAGGAGCGTGAAGCTCAGAAAAGGAACAAAAAAGTTCAGAAAAAAAGAAAATACCCTATTATCTTCCAAAGCAAGTAGTTTTAACAAAGGTAAATGATTTAGACAACCTGACTAACAAGATAAGAAATCTGAAAACCTAAAAATCTATTCACTTAGAAAACTGGTTTGTAAAGATAAAGGAACACATGACTGTAAGACATTTTGGCAAACAATATTGTGGATTCCCATTACCCAGCGGTGCATCAAGTAGATGGGCTTTGAACTTGAACCTGCAACTAAAATCTGGCTTCCAAGCCCAATTTCTTAAGCCAATGGCAAGTGCCCTCACTCTAACATTCTCCAAGAGAAAGAAAAAGAGAAATTTTGGGGGCCAGATAAACCTGGGATGGAAAGCCAGCTCTGTCACTTTCTGTTCAATCCACTTAGCTTCATTTTACCCGAAAATAAAATGGGAACAGTGTTAATACCTCTAATCGGTATTGTAAGGATTTTAAAAAACTGAAATTAATAAGAGTTCTCATAAAATACTGTTTTCCTTTTTCTTTCCTCTAAGGCATCGCAACTTCTCCCTGCCCAGGGCCTACGTTGGGGCGCCCCGCCCCCCCAGCCCACGTGGCTGTTGGGTTTACCTCACCCCGCCACCCCAGCCCAAGCGGCACTCCCCGGCTCTCACTGATGCCGATGACCATCTGGGCAATAGGGCCTGGACCCGGAGCATATCCGAGCTTCATAGGTTTCCGCGCCACCAAGTACACGTAAAGGCCTGCCCCTATCAGTCCCGACCCGGAGAGCACCCGGCAACTCCAGCAGTTATTAAACAAGGGCGCTTGCTCTGGGGAGGTCGGCGCTTCGGACGCATCTGGGGGAGCGGGGGAAGCGGCCACCGGAGGATCGTCGAATTTCTTAGGCTGCAGAGGCCGGAACAACGAAGAACCCATGTTCTGGGAATTGGCCCAGTCGTGACAAAACTTCGGTTCGAACTGACGTAAAAGATGCGGCCGGAAAGCAGAGCGCAGTGCGCCCCGGAAAATCCTGAGGGCGGCTGGGAAATGTAGTTTTCGCCTGAGTCGCTGTGTCGCTAGGGCGCGAAAGAGGCAGAACTGCTAGGGTGGATTTCAAGGGCTGCAATCTTGGTGTGTGCAACCTCCACCTCTTATTAGTTTATAGAGATTTCGACTTAGCCGCCATTCTTTCCCCTCCCCCCCTTTATTGGTGCCGGGGATTGAACCAGGGGTGCTTTAGCACTGAACTGCATTCCCTGTTTTTTCAATTATTAACTTTGAGAGAGGGTCTAACTAAGCTGCTGAAGCTGGCCTTGAACTTGCAATCCTCCTGCCCCAGTATACCGAGTTGCAGGAATTACAACCAGTACTCTTCTTACTAGGTGTCTCAACTTTCGGCCTCCTTCGAGAAGTCTGGAGTAAATCTCTGGGTTTACTGTGTAACATAAACTGTGAAGCCCTGGGTATGCCACGTCTCCTGCTCAGAGACTTGTGTCTTGAAGGGTTAAGTTTTATATATTAACTATATGCTAGATACTTTGCTAAGCAGTTCTCTGCATTATGTGATTTCCCAATTCAGTATGACAGTTTTCTCAATAAATGACACAACTGATTTCAAACCATAGTTGAAACCAATGTCGGCAGATAAAAGAGTCACATCTCTCAACCTCCACCTGTATATGTTGTGACAGCAGTACGCAAACGTGATCGAGATATTGGAAGTAGATTTGAATTACCTGGATAAATACTTTCAATTTCTCTTTACCTTGTTTCTTAAAGACATGCTCTCAATTTGTCGTATTCGTGGTTTCTCTTTGAAAGCACTGGAGAAAATTCCATGCAAAATCAGGTGAATAGATTTGAGGTGTTAATATTTAAGATTTGTTTTTGCAGGTTTACATTCTTATCCCTTAAGAAGGACCTTTTAATTCTGATTGTATCTTTATGAGTCAATTTCTTTATCATGCATTCCCAACTCATTTCACTTTTTATTTTCTTTGGGTATAGTTGAATATATATTTCTTGTGCTGGGTTGTTCCCAGAGAATTACTGGTAAGAAAGAAAGGTATTTAGAGTTCAAAGATTGTCTCTGTTGGAGGAGACTGGTTAAAAAAAATAGGACTCTAGGTTTAAACTTTTCTTCTTTAGGTTAGCTTTAAAAAATTAACATGTTAAAAAATGCATTACTATATTTTTTAAAATGGAAGTAATTTGGGGAAGACTGAAAAAGGAAAAAATAAAGACATGGATAAATAGGCAAAATTATAATAGAATACTGAGTTGACCTGCTGCATAATTTCAAAGACACTCTCTGATAGATACATAGATAGATAGATAGATATAGATATAGAGATATTCATATCTCTATTTATATAATTTTTTTCTATACATATCTAAAGATAGATATGTGTTATCTGTCTCCATTCCTTGTATATTAGAAAGACATTTAGGGAGCACACCTGGCTGTATTACTATGAGGCCACCATACAACATAAAGAATATTACTTGTCCTCTTTGGCTCTTATTCATCCACTGTCTAAAATGAGATTCGAACTAGGCAGTCTCTTTCTTTTCTGACTTGAAAGTCCTGTTATTAGGAATTTCCCTTCTAACAACACTGTGGTGCCATACCAAATGAATTCAGTAGTATTTCACTTAGAAATTAATATTTTATGGCTGCTGCTTCTTACTATGTCTGATACAACGTTCTACAATGCATTCAATTTATTCTTATTTACATGGAACAAAAATATCATTTGACAGTCATTTGGCAAACATTTTTATTACACATCCTTAGAGAGGAAAAAAGATTGAGCACACACTAACATTTATGCATAGTTGTTACTTAAAAATTATCTATTTATATACTACCTTATACAAGGATAAGGTAAAACAATAGAAATAAAAATTTAAATATTTTCTCATCACAATGTATGGGCTCATGCTCCTTCATGGATAGCATGTTATTTGACATAATTTTATTCATATTTTATCCAGAAACTTGCCATCTGTACTGTGCTTATTACAGTTGAGAATATCAGAAAGGCCATCTTTTAATTTTTTTATTTTTTAAATTTTTGTATTAGTGAATTATAGTCATGCATAATAGTTGGATTCATCTTGAAAAAATAATACATGCATGAAATTTAATTTGCTCTATTTCAATCCCCAGTGCTCTCACCTTTCCTTCCTTCCTCCCTTCCCTGTTGCCCTACCTCTACACTTCCTTTGCTCTTTCACTCATTTACCTATTTATTTATTTTTAATCAGTGCCTTATAGGTACACATAAGGTAGAATTCACCATGAGATACACACACACACACACACAAACACTCATACACACATTTATACATGTAGCATAATTTTGTCAAATTAATTCTGCATTTTCTTCCCTTTCTCATCCTTCTTCCCTCCCTCTAATCTTCTACTCACTGATCTTCCCTATACCTATGATATCTGACAACTCTCCCCCACCCCTCGCCTTTTTTCCCCTCTTACTTTCCTTTAGTTTCCACAAGTGAGAGAAAACATTTGACCTTAGATTTTTGTGATTCTGGCTTATTTGACTTAGCATGATAATCTCCAGATCCATTCATTTACTATCAACTAGCATAATTTCATTCTTCTTTATGGCTGAATAAAGGTCTGTTGTGCAGATATACCACATTTTCTTAATCCATTAATCTATTGATGGGAATCTGGGATGATTCCATAATTTGGCCGTTGTGAATTGTGCTGCTATAAATGTTGAAGTGGCTGTATTGCCATAGTGTATTGCCATAGTATTTCAGCTAATTTTAGTTCTTTCGGATAAATACCAAGGAGTGGGATAACTGGGTTATATGGTGGCTCCATTTCTAGTTTTCTGAGGAGTCTCCATACTACTTTCCAGAGTGGTTATACCAATTGGCAGTCCCATCAGCAATGTATCAATATATCTTTTTCCCACATCTTTGCCAGCATTTATTATTGTTTGTATTCTTGATAATTGCCATTCTTACTGGAATGAGATGAAATCTTAGTGTAGTTTTGATTTGCATTTCTCTGATTGTAATAAATATTGAACATTTTTCATATATTTGTTGGCCACTTGTGTTTCTTTTTTTGAGAAGTATCTATTTAATTTTTTGCCAATTTATTGATTGCATTTTTATGTTAATCTTTTTGTGTTCCTTATATATTTTTCATATTAATACAGCATTGGTGGAATAGCTTGCAAAGATTTTTCTCCTGATATGTAGGCTCTCTCATCACACTCTTAATTATTTCCTTTCCAATCATTCCTTTGCTTTATTATTATTTGTATTCTTGATAATTGCCATTCTTACTGGAATGACATGAAATCTTAGTGTAGTTTTGATTTGCATTCTCTGATTGTTATAGATATTGAACAGCATCTATTGAGGTGATCATGATTTGATGATACCATAAAATTTGATGCCATCTCACTTATTGATTCTTAGTTTTATTTCTTGAGTTTTAGGGGTTTTGTTCAGGAAATCAGTGCTTGCACCAGTATGTTAGACTGTTGATCCTATATTTTCTTCTAACAACTACAAAGTTTCTGGTCTAATTCCTAAGTGTTTGGTTCACTTTGATTTGACTTTTGTTCTGGGTGAGAGATAAGGGTCTAGTTTCAGTCTTCTACACATGAATATCCAGTTTCTCCAGCACCATTTGTTAAAAAGGTGGTCTTTTCTCCAACATATATTTTTGGGACCTTTGTCAAGTATCAGTGACTGTAAGTATATGGGTTTGTCTCTGTGTATTTTATTTCATCCCATTGGTCTTCATGTCTATTTTGATGTCAATACCATGCTGATTTTGCTATTATAGCTCTGTTATATAATTCTACATGAACTATTGTAATGCTTTCTGCATCATTCTTCTTGTACAGGATTGCTTTTGATATTCTGCATCTTTTATTCTTCCAAATGAGTTTTAGGACTGTGTTTTCCTAGTTGTGTAAAGAATGGCATTGGTATTTTCATGGTAATTGCATCTAATCTGCATAATGCTTTAGTAATATGGCTGCTTTGACAATATTAATTCTGCCTATTCAAGAACATGGGAGGTCTTTCCATTTTTAGACATAGGATCATGTAATCAAGCAGAGATACTTTGACTTCTTTTCCTATTTGTATCCCTTTAATTTCCTTCTTTTGCCTAATTGCTCTGGCTATAATTTCAAGAACTATATTGAATAGGAGTGGTGAGAGTGAACATCCTTGTCTTGTTCCTGAGTTTTAAAGGAAATGCTTTCAATTTTTCTTCATTCAGTATGATGTTGGCTTCCAGTTTGTCATATATTAGACTTTATAAATAATATTGAGGTAAGTTCCTTTTGTTCCTAGTTTTTTCAGCATTTTAAACATGAATGGGTGCTGAATTTTACTAAAGGCGTTTTCTGAGAGCATCTGTTGGGTTGATCATGATTGTTGTCCTTAATTCTATTTATGTGGTGACAACATTTATTGATTTGCATATGTTAAATAACCTTGCATCCTGGGATGAAACTCACTTGATCATGGTGTATTATCTTCTTGATATGTTTTTGAATTTGGTTTGCTAATATTTTATTAACAATCTTTGCATCTATGTTCATTAGGGATATTGTTCTGAAGTTTTCTTTCCTTCATATTTCCTTGCCTAGTTTTGGTATCAGAGTTATACTGGCTTCATAGAATGAATTTTCAGTGTTTTCTCCCTTTCAATTTCATAGAATAATTTGAGAAAGACTGATAAAAAAGTCTAGTAGAACTCAGCTGAGAATCCATCTGTTCCTGGACTTTTCTTTATTCCAAGGCTTTTAATTGCTGTTTTGATGTCATTACTTGATATTGTTCTGTTGAAGTTTTCTATATTTTCCTGGTTCAATTTGGCTAGGTCATATATGTCTAGAAATGTGTTAATGTCTTCTAGATTTCCTAGCTTATTGGAGTAAAAATTTTCAAAAAGTTTCAAATGATCCTCTGGATTTCAGATGTATTTATCTCCTTTTTCATCTCTAATTTTGTTTATTTGAATCTTCAGGAGAAGACATCTTTAA